CCGACCTCCGTGGACGGCGCGCCGCTTGCAGGCGCAGCGGGAGAAGCGACCTTCACGCCCCCCGTGCCGGCATCCCTGGAGGCCGCTCTCGAGACATTCGTCGACATGGACGACCTCTGATGGGCTGCGGGGTGGCCACGAGACGTAGGCGGCCCGAGTAGGGTCAGGTTACGCAGTGCATCTTCGCATGCTTGCGGGTGGTGCCCCTCTTGGCATCTCAATGGTTCGGGCGGGTCGAACATCCCGCCGTGGCTTCTAGCTGGCTAGGGTGCAGTCCCAAGGCGCACAGACTCGCAGCGGGGGCGCGAAGGCGAGCGACGCGCGCGGTCATCGTACTGAACATCGCAATCGTAGTCGGTGTCGTCATCTCCCGACTCTCACTATCCACCCTATATCATAGGACCAACCTTCCCATGGAGTTCTCCCCATATGTGTACATGAATATGTCCCCAAATGGATCGATCTAGGATTGACAGTTGGTCTTCATGCTGTCGTTGGGCCGATTCGTCCAATCATCTACTTCTCGCGGCTCTGGTGGCGGGTAGCGCGTCCATCTTTGCAGGTGGGCAGGGGGAGTGGCAGGTCGTTCCCAACAGGAGTGTTTGATCTCGTTCTGGGGGCCCGTCGGCGTGGCGAGCCTTGCACGTGGCTACGGCGCGGGCTCCAACAAAAACAAACAGCTGAAAAAAAGGGCTCAGGCAACGCCCCTTGACCTCTACCGAACGACGACGTCGACGGCCGACACCCTCGAGCGTTGCCCAGGGCGGCGTGACTCCTGCGGTGTCTGTGACCCTCCCCCGGAGGAGGAGGAGGAGGCGGAGGGAATAGGAGGATGAGGAGGGGCAGGAGGACGAGGAAAGCCGAGGCGGAGGAGGGGGAGGAGGAGGAAGGGGAGGAGGAGGGATGAGGAGGGAGGAGGGAGGAGGGATGAGGAGGGAGGAGAGGGAGGAGGCCATCTTAGCCGTCTTGGAGGCATCTGGGAGGCCATATTGGACCATCTGGACCGAGAAAGCCGACGAGGCAGGCGCCCTAGCGGGACGGGCCGAAGCCCCAGGGGGAGTTCTTTTGCCAAAAGAACCAAAACCCAAACCCTCAGAAGTCCAGAACGCCAGGCGCCCCTGCGATGAATCGACAGGGGGCGGCGGATCTACTGGTTTTCGGCCCATCCCGCCACCGTGCGTGGCTGGTGGGTCAGGGGCATCATGGATGTTGGTTGTTATCTCGTGGTTGACCTCTCAAGGGCTTCTGGGAGGCAGTCTTGGATCGTCTGGGCGGCCTCCCGGGGACCAGACAATGTGTTTCTTGGAAGGCATTCCCGCCGTTCGCCAGGCAAGCGGCATGGATGTCAATGGCACGGATTATTGCGCGTACGTGCTCCAGTCTCGCATGCCGAACAGCCCCCAAGCACCACCATCATCACACCATCATCATCATCATCATCATCATCATCATCATCATCATCGTCATCATCGTCATCATCATCCACATTGTCATCAGCACCATCCGCAGCCACTTTGGCTTAGGGGGTGTGTGCCGGGCTCTCTACACACCAGTCCCTCTTCTGGCGGCGCATTGCGATGAGCGCATTCGTTTGCGATTTGTGTGGATACGAGAGTGACCGGGCCAGGCACATCGAGGCCCATCGTGGCACCAAGTCTTGTCTGAGACAGCAGGCGAATGCCGAGCCCGGGGAGTACGACAGCAACCTCGCGAGGACGATCGACAGGCAGTCGAGAGACACAACACGATATGAACATCAACTGTTGGAGGCCCGCTTGGTTTTTTGGGAAAGGCGCTGGGCTCTTCTGGCGGCCCTTACGGGGCCGCGGGCAAAGGGGTCCAGCGCCGACCAAAGAAACCCGCGCGGGTCACCAACGTGTTGCGTTTGTGTCGATGCTCGGCTCTCGAGGAGCGCCCCGCCCTTCATTCATTACCTGAAGGAAAACATCGCCGTGTGCCAGGCCAGTGCGACGACATCCATGGACATCGTGCCGTTCGCCAAAGTGTTCGATTGCAAACCAGCGGACATTCAAGACATGCTGGGCCACTTTCGCCGTCGATTGAGAGCGTTGGGGGTGCGTGCAGGATCGATGCAGTTCAAGATGATGGTGATGGCAACATCCTTCTGCGTGGCTCTTGGTTGGACCTATGCGTTCTTGGAGCTTCTGGACATCGTGCCGGTGCCGTGGACTGCAGCATACGGGCACGCGCTGCGCAGTCGTCTGATGGGCGCATGGGCTAGTGGCTCGCCGCTGTTCAACGTGTACATTCGGCAATGCAAAATTCTAGATTTCACGAAGTGCAGCACCAAGAAGGCGGCCAACAAAAAGATCGGCAAGCTCCTCCGGATCATGAAAGGCATCGTTTCCATGTGCACACACGATGCTCTTGGCGGTGACCGGGCGGCATTCGTCCGAGCTATGGTGTTCCCGTACGTGCCGCTGCATGGGTACACGCAGAAGTGCGCCCTCGTCCTCTGGGACTCGCTCGTGGGGGAACCACCTTCATCAGCAGAGTATGATACCGAGTGCCTGGGTGCTGCCGTCTTCTCGGGCCTTCGCCATCTCGGTTGCGACTGCAAGGGCAACAAGGGGTTGGCGACGTTGCGTCTGCAGCTCGTGGCCAGGCGCATGCGGCGCTTGTGGTCGACGACGGGGCGGCGGATTCGGATGCCAGCGTTCGACGTGAAAGATCTTCTGCCGCAGCTGTGCGCGTGGAAACAGGACTCATTCGGGCCATCGCCCAGGCCCTTGAAAGTGATCGCCTTCGGCCGGAAGCGGCGTCTCGGCGCGTCGTGATGACGCTGATGCGGTAGTGGGAAATAATTAACGAACACTCTTTTCGAAATTTTCAGTCTCGGTTTTTCGTCGTTTTCGGCGCCCGGGGGCCGGTGTAGGGCCCGGGCGCCCCGAAAAACGGACCCCGGGTGAGAAATTGCGTCGGGTGGACCCCAGGAGGGGCCCGGGGACCGATTTTGAGCCGATGCACGAGTGTTCGATAATTGTTTCCGACGCCTGTGAGGCCGATTCGAGAGTTCATCGCCCGCCGGGCGGCTGCGAGGCCCCGTGGCAGGCTGTTTTTCCCCGTGGCGCGTTTCTGCGAGCGTTTGGCTGGCAGTGGCCGTTGCGCCGGGCCAGAACAGCGAGACAGAGGGAAGGCAGACAACACGTGCATGTCATTCCTCCCTCTTCCTCCACCCCCGCCCACAGGAACGCACGCGGCCGGACGAAAAACTTTACGGGGGCCCGGGAGCGGCCCCTGCGGCCTGAGGAGGAGGAGGAGGAGGAGGAGGAGGAGGAGGAGGAGGCGGAGGAGGAGGAGGAGGAGGAGGAGGAGGAGGAGGAGGAGGAGGAGGAGGAGGAGGAGTTTGTCGGTGGCGTCGCCTGTAAAGTTTTGCTTCCGCGCGGGCGTGCAATCCAGGCGAGCCAGAGGAGCCTGAACATATTCTTTCATGAGTGCTACAGTGTACAGTCGGCTGTGAATCCTGATGTATTTGTTTATGGACTTGCATGTCGAAGTATCCGGACAGAATGTTCCAATTGTGATTGTGTGGACTGCAGCCCTTTGTGACACTGCCAGTGGGATGGCCCATAACATGCGCACAATATCATACTACTGAATGTTCTGACAGATACGAATCTTATGGTTATGTTTGCCCATCCGAGCGTGTAATATTAGATGTGACGTCGTGTAATATTAGATGTGACGTAGTGTTTTAGAAACATGTGTTGTTCGCACAAAGTTATAAACGTGCAGACTCAACCCCTGTTGCTCCTGGAGTATGGGTTTGAGCTTGCTTCGTAGGTAAGGCCCGCGTGCATAAGTAGTAAGGGTTCAGGCTCAACCCCTGTTGCTCCTGGGGTATGGGTTTGAGCTTGACTACTAGGGAAGCACCGCGTGCACCATCTGAGACGGCCTCCAGACGGCCCAAGATGCCACCAAGACGGGCCAAGAGGGACAGGCTCAACCCCTGTTGCTCCTGGAGTATGGATTTGAGCTTGGCTCTTAGGTAAAGCAGCTCCGTTTGCACCAAGTAGTAAACGTGCAGGCTCAACCCCTGTTGCTCCTGGAGTGTGGGTTTGAGTTTGCGTCGTAAGTGAGGCCAGTGTGCATCAAGTGGTCAGCGTTCAGGCTCAACCCCTGTTGCTCCTGGAGTATGGGTTTGAGCTTGGCTCTTAGGTACAGGGACCCCGTTTGCACCAAATAGTAATAGTGCAGGCTGAACCCCTGTTGCTCCTGGAGTATGGGTTTGAGCTTGCGTCGTAAGTGAGGCCCGTGTGCATCAAGTAGGTAAGCATTCAGGCTCAACCCCTGTTGCTCCTGGAGTATGGGTTTGAGCTTGGTTACTAGGTAAGCACCGCGTGCACCGCCCGAGACGGCCCCCAAACGGCCCAAGTTGCCACCAAGACTGGCCAAGAAGGACAGGCTCAACCCCTGTTGCTCCTGGAGTATGGGTTTGAGGTTGCCTCTTAGGTACAGAAGCTCCGCTTGCACCAAGAAGTAAACGTGCAGGCTCATTGGCCCAATCCGGAGGCTCGGCTGAAGGGCCGCCAGTGTATTGGCGCTGGGTGGAGGTGCTCTGTTCTCGTGGGAGCGGGCGTGCAATCCAGGCGAGCCAGAGGAGCCTCAACATATTGTTTGCTGATTGCTACAGTCGGCTTTGAATCCTGAGTAATTTGTTTTTGGACATGCAATTGGAATGATCCGGACATCAGTTACACAAGAATGTTCCAATTGTGATTGTGTGGATTGAAGCCCTTCGTGACACTGTCAGTGGGATGGCGCAGAACATGTACACAACATCATACTACTGCATGTTATGACATATACTAATCTTATGGTTCCGTTTGCCCATCCGAGCGCGTGTCGGGGGAGGGGAGCTGGGGAGGGATGCATAGGAGAGGAGGGGGAGGAGGAGGACCGCCCTCACCCGCTCCCCCGACACGCCTGTCTCCCGTCACATCCGCAGCACGCGGGCTCAAGGCTCAAGGCGTCGAACAATGAGTGCAAAACCTGTGTACCACAATCGCGCCACCACTTTCCTCGACGACGGCGAGAGTTTTCAGGCTGATTTTGTGGCGTGGCGGTGCGACGACGAGCACGGCGACACCCACTGGGAGCTACTCGGTCCACTGCTGGCTGTGCACAGTGGCGCGAAAACCCCGGTGGACGTGCACAAGCACGTGAGTGCCTCTGAAGGCAGTTGGCGGGCGATGTTCCATGTTCTCGGCCTGCAGTGGTCCGACCACATATTCCCACCCGTGAAAGCGGTACAAGCGAAGCTTCGCAAGACAGGCGTTGACGAGTCCTCGTGGCACACGCGCTTCAGCTTCACCTGCACATCCCAGGCTTTAGTGTTGATCTTGGCTCAGAAGGCTACAGCGGCGAAGGCAGAGGAGACGAGGGCGAAGGCTCGGGCCGCGATGGAAGCCTGGCTGGCACAGGTGGTGCACTTCCGCGATTTCAAGATCGCCTTGAACGAGTGCTTTTCGGAGTCTGCCGGGGCTTGCAACCTGGTCGTGCATGAAGGCTACTGCCAGCACATGCGCGCCATCGACAAGGACCTTGGCGCAGACGACGGCCGGAGGCCGTTTCGCGGACCCGTGTGGCTCTTCGTCGCGACGCTGCAAAAGATCTACGAGTGTCCGGCTGCAAGGGCTGTCGTGCTCCATTTCTGCGCGAGGCTCGCCAGGATGATCCACAGCTCGGACGACAACCGGGGCTCCACAAATCCTTTGAAGCAGGATCGAGTCGTCGCCGGCGGTCGCAAGAGGCGTTGGCATGAAGGCTTCAAGGCCGAAGTGACCCAGGGCGTGGTCCAGAAGGAGAAGGCGTTGACCGGGCTGGGCGCCTGCAAGCTCGAGGGTTGCGACGAGCGGCGCTTGCGAGAGTGGCAGGACAAGCAATGCTTGTCCACGATGGCCTGCAGTCATCGTCTCTTGGGGGACGCCGTGGGCACGTTCAGCATGTCGGAGGATGGCGCTCGCTTGGGGTGCCCTGCCGTGGAGACAAAAGTGTACGCCATGTACCACCGGGGTCAGAGCGTCGCCCTCTGGTTGCCCAACCAGGCGCCCACAGAGAATGCTGTTCGCATCCATTTTCCCCAAAAAGGGCGCCCCACCGCGCCCTATTGAAAAGTACCGTTTGCTTGAGACATTGCGAAAATCCGCCCGTTCAACGTGCCGTCCCCGGTTTTGGGGAAAAGGGCTGGCCCAGGGGGCGAACAGAGTTTTCTGTTCGGCGCGCCCGCCCGTTCAACGTGGCGTGCCCGGTTTTGGGGAAAAGGGCTGCCCAGGGGGCGAACAGAGTTTTCGGTTCGGCGCGCCAGGCGGTGAAGGAGTGGAGGGGCATGAAGCACGACGGGGTGGGCTTGGCCAGTGAGAGCGTGGCAAAGTGGAAGCAGCGGTTGCAGGACTTTTTCAAGGGCGAGGCAGAGCGGGCGAGACCGTCGACCCGCAAGAGCCTCGGGGACCCGAACTTGGCGAACCAGCACGACCTCCAGGCGTGGGACCATGCGTTACTCGCAGGCGTGGGCCGCGGACTAGCCAAGTTCCGGGCAGCTCGGCCCTGCCTCCCCCTGGGTCCTGGTGAGGCGAGGTTCTGGGTTGATCTCGCGACCCTCCCCGAGGATCTTCAGGCCGCGGCTGCGGGTCGCACCCGAAGGGCGGCGGTCCGCGCGGCCGACGGATCAACTCGCTTGGAGTGCGTCTGGAGCGAGCCTCGGTGCATCTTACACTCTTGGCTCGACATGGGCAGCGTGGGGTGGGTGGGGAAGCACATCGCCTACGGGCACGGCAAAGTACGGGGCACTTTCGGCAACGACCCGTCGCACCGGAGATGGGGCAACACCTTGAACAGCCTGTCGGCGGCCGGGCTTACCCTGTTGAAACTTGAGGCGGGCTTGGTGCAGACTTTCTTGCTTGGCCCGTGGCACATGGACGGGAACTTTCGCAAGGTGGAGGAGGCCGCGCAGGAGTGGCATGCGAGCTCTGACCACCGCGATCTGCTGTTCGTACACCTGTACCCCCGGATCGTGCGGGACCTCAACCAGGGCGTCTTGCCCGCGGAGTTCGGCAGCGACGAGCGCATCAAGAGCACGTGGGACGCTTTGCCAGAGCAGCTGGTATTTTGGAGGAGAGGTGCGAGCATGAAGCTGAACAGGTGGTTCCAACTGACGACCCTCCATGATGGCAGTGGAGCGTGGCGGCAGTCGCAGTGATATGCGTAGCAATGTTGCCGATTTTCAAAAGATAGGCCGGTGCACTTGCCTTCCGCAGCGGTTCCAGGATGATCAGCATCGGGTTTCGCGCTGCTGCCGCTCGGCGCAAAGAGCAAGCACCGTGGGTGGCGAGCCCTGCGTCCCAGAGGGGGAGGGCATCTCATCACCTGCCCCCTGTCTTCCCTTTCTGCCCCCCAGCATCCCACTCCACCCCCATCCCAACATCCTGTCCTCCCCGCCGCCTCTCCTCCTCCTCTTCCTCCCCCCCCCCCCCTCGCAGAAACGCGCCAGGGCGGAAGTAAAACTTTACGGAGGGCCCGCGCTCTTGGCGGTCCGCGCGCTCCTCGCAGAAACGCGCCAGGCCGGAAGTAAAACTTTACGGAGGGCTCGCGCTCTGGGCGGTCCGCGCGCCGCCCCAGAATAGCGGGGAACCCAGCGCGCAACTACGGGCATCAGCACGGGGAGTCTTCGAGTGGCTGACGCTATTCCGCCGACCCCCAAAAGGAATGAGAGCGTGCGACGATCGCGGAAGTTAACTACTGGCCGTCGGGTCATCCCGCCGCCGTGCCTGGGTGGTCGGCCGGAGGCGTCCTGAGTGTGCGCGGGGATCCCGTGGTGGGCCATTCGGGGGCTTCTTGTAGCAAGTTTCGCAGCCTCTTGGTGGCCCTTTTGGGGCCTACTGGGGCTTCGTTTGGGGCTCTGGGGAGCCTCTTCTGGCCTCTTGGGCGTCTTTTGGGCCGACGTGGGGCGATCTCGGGGCATCTTGGGCCGCCCAGAAGCGTCGAAGTGACAAAAAGGCGAGTTTGCCAAACTAACTTTCCAAAGCCATTCGAAAAATATTGATTCGAAAGCTTAGGGTGGTTGGCTTGGGGTAGGCCTGCCACCCTAAACCTACCCTTCGGGCGCCCCGAAAAACGGACCCCGGGTGAGAAATTGCGTCGGGTGGACCCCGGGAGGGGTCCGGGGGCCGATTTTGAGCCGATGCACGAGTGTTCGATAATTGTTTCCGACGCCTGTGAGGCCGACTCGAGAGTTCATCGCCCGCCGGGCGGCTGCGAGGCCCCGTGGCAGGCTGTTTTTCCCCGTGGCGCGTTTCTGCGAGCGTTTGGCTGGCAGTGGCCGTTGTGCCGGGCCAGAACAGCGAGACAGAGGGAAGGCAGACAACACGTGCATGTCATTCCTCCCTCTTCCTCCACCCCCGCCCACCGGAACGCGCGCGGCCGGACGAAAAACTTTACGGGGGCCCGGGAGCGGCCCCTGCGGCCTGAGGAGGAGGAGGAGGAGGAGGAGGAGGAGGAGGAGTTTGTCGGTGGCGTCGCCTGTAAAGTTTTGCTTCCGCGCGGGCGTGCAATCCAGGCGAGCCAGAGGAGCCTGAACATATTCTTTGATGAGTGCTACAGTGTACAGTCGGCTGTGAATCCTGATGTATTTGTTTATGGACTTGCATTTCGAAGTTTCCGGACAGAATGTTCCAATTGTGATTGTGTGGACTGATGCCCTTTGTGACACTGTCAGTGGGCTGGCCCATAACATGCACACAATATCATACTACTGCATGTTATGACATATATGATTCTTATGGTTATGTTTGCCCATCCGAGCGTGTAATATTAGATGTGACGTAGTGTTTTAGAAACATGTGTTGTTCGCACAAAGTAATAAACGTGCAGGCTCAACCCCTGTTGCTCCTGAAGTATGGGTTTGAGCTTGCTTCGTAGGTAAGGCCCGCGTGCATAAGTAGTAAGGGTTCAGGCTCAACCCCTGTTGCTCCTGGAGTATGGGTTTGAGCTTGACTACTAGGGAAGCACCGCGTGCACCATCTGAGACGGCCTCCAGACGGCCCAAGATGCCACCAAGACGGGCCAAGAGGGACAGGCTCAACCCCTGTTGCTCCTGGAGTATGGATTTGAGCTTGGCTCTTAGGTAAATAGCTCCGTTTGCACCGAGTAGTAAACGTGCAGGCTCAACCCCTGTTGCTCCTGGAGTATGGGTTTGAGCTTGCGTCGTACGTGAGGCCAGTGTGCATCAAGTGGTCAGCGTTGACGCTCAACCCCTGTTGCTCCTGGAGTATGGGTTTGAGCTTGGCTCTTAGGTACAGGGACCCCGTTTGCACCAAATAGTAATAGTGCAGGCTCAACCCCTGTTGCTCCTGGAGTATGGGTTTGAGCTTGCGTCGTAAGTGAGGCCCGTGTGCATCAAGTAGGTAAGCATTCAGGCTCAACCCCTGTTGCTCCTGGAGTATGGGTTTGAGCTTGGTTACTGGGTAAGCACCGCGTGCACCGCCCGAGACGGCCCCCAAACGGCCCAAGTTGCCACCAAGACTGGCCAAGAAGGACAGGCTCAACCCCTGTTGCTCCTGGCGTATGGGTTTGAGGTTGCCTCTTAGGTACAGAAGCTCCGCTTACACCAAGAAGTAAACGTGCAGGCTCATTGCTCCTGGAGTATGGGTTTGAGCTTGGCTCTTAGGTACAGGGACCCCGTTTGCACCAAATAGTAATAGTGCAGGCTCAACCCCTGTTGCGTCTGGAGTATGGGTTTGAGCTTGCGTCGTAAGTGAGGCCCGTGTGCATCAAGTAGGTAAGCATTCAGGCTCAACCCCTGTTGCTCCTGGAGTATGGGTTTGAGCTTGGTTACTAGGTAAGCACCGCGTGCACCGCCCGAGACGGCCCCCAAACGGCCCAAGTTGCCACCAAGACTGGCCAAGAAGGACAGGCTCAACCCCTGTTGCTCCTGGAGTATGGGTTTGAGGTTGCCTCTTAGGTACAGAAGCTCCGCTTGCCCAATAAGTAAACGTGCAGGTGATATGTTGTCGTGGGAGCGGGCGTGCAATCCAGGCGAGCCAGAGGAGCCTCAACATATTGTTTGATGATTGCTACAGTCGGCTTTGAATCCTGAGTTTTTTGTTTATGGACTTGCAATTTGAATGATCCGGACATCGGTTACACAAGAATGCTCCAATTGTGATTGTGTGGATTGAAGCCCTTCGTGACACTGTCAGTGGGATGGCGCAGAACATGTACACAACATCATACTACTGCATGTTATGACAGATACTAATCTTATGGTTCCATTTGCCCATCCGAGCGTGTAATATTAGATGTGACGTAGTGTTTTAGAAACATGTGTTGTTCGCACAAAGTAATAAACGTGCAGGCTCAACCCCTTTTGCTCCTGGAGTATGGGTTTGAGCTTGCTTCGTAGGTAAGGCCCGCGTGCATAAGTAGTAAGGGTTCAGGCTCAACCCCTGTTGCTCCTGGAGTATGGGTTTGAGCTTGACTACTAGGGAAGCACCGCGTGCACCATCTGAGACGGCTTCCAGACGGCCCAAGATGCCACCAAGACGGGCCAAGAGGGACAGGCTCAACCCCTGTTGCTCCTGGAATATGGGTTTGAGCTTGGCTCTTAGGTAAAGCAGCTCCGTTTGCACCAAGTAGTAAACGTGCAGGCTCAACCCCTGTTGCTCCTGGAGTATGGGTTTGAGCTTGCTTCGTAGGTAAAGCCCGTGTGCATCAAGAACTCAGCGTTCAGGCTCAACACCTGTTGCTCCTGGAGTATTGCTTTGAGTTTGGCTCTTAGGTAAAGCAGTTCCGTTTGCACCAAATAGTACTAGTGCAGCCTCAACCCCTGTTGCTCCTGGAGTATGGGTTTGAGCTTGCTTCGTAGATAAAGCCCGTGTGCGTCAAGAACTCAGCGTTCAGGCTCAACCCCTGTTGCTCCTGGAGTATGGGTTTGAGCTCGATTCCTAGGTATGATCCGAGCGCACGAAAAAAAGCGTTGAAGCTCAAGCCCTGCTGCTCCTAGAAACTAAGGGTATGGGCCCAAACCGTATGCCATAAGGCCCCAACTGTAAGGTCATAGCCATAACATCACAACAATTGTCAGGGCGAAGTCTGGAGCCATCCCGCAACCATCCCCCAGCCGTCTTGAAGCCATCTTGGAACAGTCTTGGGGCCATCTTGGGCCATTTTGGGCCCCCCAAGGGCCGCGGCCGCGAGGTCGTCCCCACCACCGCCACAATCCCCATCCCCATCCCCTCCCCTCCCCTCCCCGTTTACGTGCCCGTTTACTGCCCGTTTACTGCCGCAACGTACAAAGCGCACGCGCGCGCGCTGTATTGTCCACACTGGAAAACGTCGCCATGTTGGCCTGGAAACTGAAGTGCTCCTTTAGCGGTGTCCGATGGGATCATCCAAGTGAACATGGGGCTTCTACGTGCCCGTTTACTGCCGCAGCGTACTACGCGCAGACGCGCGCTCGCGCGCGCGTCCGCGCGCTGTATTGTCCACAATAGAAAAGCCGCCATGTTGGCCTGGAAACTGAAGTGCTCCCTTAGCGGTGACCGATGGGATTTCCAAGCTAACATGGGGCCTCTACGTACACGATTACTGCCGCAGCGTACCACGCGCAGACGCGCGCGCACGCGCGCGCGTCCGCGCGCTGTATTGTCCACACTAGAAAAGTTGCCATGTTGGCATGGGAACTGAAGTGCGTCTTTAGCGGCGACCGATGGGGTTTCCAAGCTAACATGGGGCCTCTACGTGCCCGTTTAATGCCGCAGCGTACAAGACGCGCAGACGCGCGCGCGCGCGCGCGCGTCCGAGCGCTGCATTGTCCACAATAGAGAAGGCGCCATGTTGGCCTGGAAAACTGAAGTGCTCCCTTAGCGGTGACCGATGGGATTTCCAAGTTAACATGGAGCCTCTACGCACCCGTTTACTGCCGCAGCGTACAACGCGCAGACGCGAGCGCGCGCTGTATTGTCCACAATAGAGAAGTCGCCATGTTGGCATGGAAAACTGAAGTGCCCCCTCAGCGGTGGCCGATGGGATTTCCCAAGCTAACATGGGGCCTCCACGTACCCGTTTCCTGCCGCAGCGTACAACGCGCAGACGCGCGCGCGCGCGCGCTGTATGCTGCGGCAAATCATAGGCCTATCCTAGGC